GAAGGGGAGGGAGGGAGGGGGGGCGGGTGTAGCAGATAACCACCACACCCGATGCTCACTCGCTTCCCGGTGGGCATTTTTTTTTTCTTGCTTTATATTTTTTTTGATTTAGTTTTTTTTTTTAATGCATTAGGTTGCATTTTTTTTTCTTCTCTTATCTTTTTCACGTCACTCCTCTTTGTTGTTTACTCCTTCCTTTCCCCTCTCCCTCTTTCTAAGTCCTTCAGCCTTCCTCCCTCCTTTCTCCCTTCCCTCGACCCGTGTCTCCTTCCTCCTCGCCTCTCCCCCTCCGTGTCACTGCTCTCCTCCTCCTCCTCCTCCTCCTCCTCCTCCTCCTCCTCCTCTTTCTTTTCCTCTTCCTCTTCCTGCTCTTTTTCCTCCCCTCCCCATCCCCTCCCCATCCTCTCCCCTTCCCTCCCCCCCCCTCCCCCAGCTCCGGGTACATTTCCACTTCTCCCCGAGTCTCGTGCAATGTCCGAAGGGCTGGATCGATCGCCCAGCACTCGCCCCATCGGCGTCTACCAACTTTAACGAACGGTGACGTTGTTGATGACGTAGGCGATGACGTAAGGAGATTAAATCGAGACATTCCTTATACTCCTCTCTACTTTTCTTTCTTGTATTTGCCTTCCATATTTTTTTTTTGTCTGGTTCCTTATCTTCCTCTTGTATATTTCGGTTCTCAACGCGAGCGCGCGTGTCTTTTCTCTCTCTGTCTCACCTACTTACTTACTCGCTAACTCACTCTCTCACTCACTCACTCACTCACTCACTCACTCACTCACTCACTCACTCGCGTGCTTGAGAAAGAGGCATAAAACTTTTGACCTTGGCGAGAGGGGTGGGATCCATGGTTTTGAGGGGGGGAGGAGGGAAGAGGAGGGGGGGAGGGAGGCCAAGGGAAAGGTCGTTTCGTTTCAATCAGAATAGATATTTTAGGCTCGATGAACCGAGGAGTCACGTGCACTCGAATAGATCAACACGCTCGACGTAAACACACTCGCCGCCGTCTCTCAAACCCTCGAGAGAAAATTGACTTGACCCAAGCGTGCGGACGTGCACGTAGTTCGGGTCTGACGTTTATTCTTTTATTCCCCTATTCTCCAAAGTGTCATTCCACGCCTTGCAGTGTCATGTCCCGACCTGGCACGGCATGTGACGCAGTGCTAGTGACACAGAGCGTGCGGGCGTCGTGGCATCTCGTCCTGGCGCGGGAGACCTGACACTTGAGCAGCTTCAGCCTTGGCGACCAATACCTTTGACTTTATTCCCTCGGTCGTTTCACTCAGCGTTGCCTGCGCTTCCTCATCCGATCTCGCTTGGTGCGCCGGTTTGTCTCGCCTCCGGGCGGGGCTCGGCGGTCGCTCCTGCTGGTGCGCTTGTCACGGTTCGGATTATGGCTGGGAAGAATATAATGTATAAATTATATATATATATGTATGTACGTATGTATGTATGTATGTGTATATATGTGTATATATATAAATAAATATATAAATATATATATATATATATATATATATATATATATATATATATACATATACACATGTATATATGTGTATATGCATATGTATATATATGTATGTATGTGTACATACACACACACACACACACACACACACACATATATATATATATATATATATATATATATATATATATATATATATATATATATATATGCATTCTTCCCTCCATCTATCTACGTACACGTAAAGGCAGGCCATGTTAGCATAAACTTTGACAAAGAGAATTTTGCCCGAATAAAGGGCCCGAACGAGTGCCTCGCGCAGTGCCCCAAGGCGGATCCTTTGGGGCCCTCCCGGCCAGCGCCTTGCACTGGTGCTGTGATATCACGTGCTCAGCGCCTGATGCCAGCTCGATCTGGCGCATCTTCAACATAACTCATCGAGCGGTGGGTGCCAGTGCCAGGAGGCAGCAGCGCAAGCAGGAGCAGACAAGGAGGAAGGGGAGGGTGTGGACGGGAAGGAAGGAGGGGACGGCAGGCAGAAAGAGAGGGAGGGAAGGAGAGGAGAGGAAAAGAGAAGGGAGGAGAAGAAGAAGACATGGAAGAAAAGAACAAAGGGGAGAAATAAGGACAGGGCAAGAAAGGGAGGGTTAAAGTTCTGAGAGAAGGACGCAAGGAGAGACGAAGAGAAGGAAGAGGGGCGGATTGGGAGAGGAAATGCGTAAATAAAGAGGAGTAGGAAAGGGAGAAAATAATGAACCTGTTTTTCTTTCCACATTATGCAGGGATAGAATAATGGAAAGAGAAAGGAAAACGAAAGAAAAAAAAAATCAGAGAAATTTATATATATCGCTGAGCCTCACAAACCCGGTATTCACATATGCAACTGTATTCGTGTGTGTATGTGCTGGCTCATGCTTGAATGTGTATGTCTGCTTACGTGTGTGCGTGCCGTGCCTTCATCCTCGACCCCGCTGCTCGCCTAAGTGCTTGGGGCGGCAAAGAGGGTCATCATTATTATTATTACGTCTCCTACTGAGCCAGGGTTACGTCGCGCCCATGTTGTCTCGCGTCGCCCGAGTGAGGACTTCGGGTAAAAAGTCTGTTTACTATAAGTTGGCAGAAGAATTGGTGCCGTGAGTGAGAAGCGCTCGTTCGTGACTCCTTGTCAGAGTCATGTCTCTGCCTCTTTGGGTTGGAGGAGGAGAGGAGGAGGAGGAAGAGGAGGAAAGGAAGAGGAGGAGAGGAGGAG